GAGTAGGGTGTTTTGGGCTTGGATGCCAAACCCAGTAGCGCTTCAGGGTTCCTAACAGTGGTGTTCAGAGAACCATGAAGGGCAAGAGATCAAATCATAGCTTCATGTATGACAAATAAGTATTCCTCCCTTTGATTTATACCTCTGACCCCTTGCCTTTCTATGATAATTAAAAGAAAAGAAAAGTTTAAAAAAGGGAAAGATAAAGGTTAAAAAAGAAAAGGAAAAAAATCCAACTTAGTGTACTTACACATGTTCCTACTACTATAACTATTAGTGTCACTAAATATGTTCTTATGCAGAATAATGTTCTCTTTTCAGTTCTATGTCTTTGTAATTTGATGCTACTTATGTATAAAGCTCACATGAGCCTCTAAATAGAATCGCTAATATGATCATAGAGAGTGGCAAAACTGCAAGTGTACATATGCATAACATCACTGCAAAGATGAGCTCCTTTTGCGTTCATTTTTTCCATTAAAAGTCACTGAAGTCCCCATGGGACCCTGGAGGTCACCCCACAAATTGCCTCTGGCTGCTACTTAAGCTACTTAATGGCCATCATCCAGAGACACACAAAAGAATTTCCGAAACTAGCAGCTTGCTGCAGGTTTCTTCAGACCCTTAATCTAAAATCTAAAAAATTTTAGATTTTTTAATGTAAAATTTTAGAATTCCATGAGCACACGACTGATCTCGTGATCGCCCAATATCTTATGCTATTTATAACAAGCAATACAAAATAGAGTATGGGGGAGATTATCTGCCTTAGAGGCAGGGGGAGGCGTGGAATGTGTGGCATACTGGGGACCTTGGTGGTGGAAGATGTGCACTGGATGGTTGAGTGATCGATGACTGAAACTTAAACAGGAAAGCTTTGTAACTGTATCTAAAGGTGATTAATAATAATAACAAAAATAATAAAATGATAAAAATAATTAACATTCTGAGCAAAAAAAGTCACTAAAGTCTGAAACTTTGGTGTCAGATTTGAATCCTTCCTCTCCTATGCCTTCAGTAACCAATTAATTTTCAGGTCTTTAGATGTCACTTGGATCTGTCTCATTGATGTTACTTTCATGTAGGCCCTCATATTTATCTAAATTACAATTGTGTTAGTCACCAACAAAGTCAGCTGCTTGTGGTATCTCCCTTCTTTATTTGTCCTTTTGTTTCTGTGCTCTGTTCAACTGTGCTGTAAAGTTACCTCTGGCTGACGTCAGAGATCATTCCTGGTGGGGCTTGGGAGACCATATGGGGGTACCAGGGATTGAACCCAGGTTAGCACCACATGCAAGGTAAGCATCTTACCCACGGTCCTATTTCTCCAGCCATCTGTTTTATAACTTTCTAGTTTCCTTTCAGTTTTAATGGTGTTTTTATATATAATTTTTATTAGTGAAACACCACGAGGTACAGTTGTAGACTTGAAATTTTTTTGTGCTTGGGTTTCAAGTTATACAATGATCGAGTACCCATCCCTCCCAGGATGAGAAATGTATGCTGAAAGTAGACTCTAGTATCCTTTCTTTAAGTGCTCTGTATTGCTTCTTTCCTCAAGCTCCTTCATTATTTCCTACATTTATGCAATGAAGCCCAGATAATGGCTGATGCCTTTCATGAACCTTACATTATAGTGAAACTGAATTGTTCAATATTCCCTGTATATGCACCAAGATGTTAAACGTTCATATCAGTTCATGCCTCTCTACCCTCCTTAAAAAGATGTTAAGTTACACACAAACACACACAGAGAACAAAACAAAAACAAAACAAACAAAAAAAACTCCCCCCAAATATCATTTATCTAGTTCATTGATGTATGCTCAGAACATTGTAGTTGGTACCTTGTCTGTACTATGCTTTTGGTATTTATTTCTTTCCACCTTTGATTGCAGTGTTGTTTGTAATGTCCATCTTTTAATAGACTGAAATATTTGTGGGTAGGAACTCTGCTTAATTCATAATTGTTTTCAGAAAAGTGGTGTCAACAAAATAGGCACTCAGTGACTATAATAGCCATACGTTGTGGCTTGGGTGTAAGAAAGTCTGTAGCACAGTAAGGCAAGTGAAGGTATTATTATTTTTAATAATCATTAATTTTATTGTGCTTTGCTCTTAAACTTAAAAATGAGGTTATTTTGTCTGACTCTTTAGTTAACCAAAAATATGAGAAATAACATTTGTATTGTTGAATTTCTATTAGCCCAGAACTGATGAGTCATTTTTCTTCTAATGGATACTAACTACAATAGCATTTTATTTGTGGCTATTAAGAGATGTTAAGCATGTTAAAATTGTCAATAAATATATCTTTAGCTATAGCTTTCTTATTATCATGGATTCAAAGCATACAACATGTTACATGCACTGAAAATTTCTACTTTCCTTTGAACTTTAGCATTAAGCTCAAATTCACCTAATAATGGATACTAAGAATTTCAGATCCCATACTAAGAAAATTTCCTGCTTGCATCTCTGGGCAAGAAAATAAAACAATGGGTTTTATTCCTGAACAAATCATTCCAAGCCAAATTATGGTCTTACCAGGTAATCTGGTATAAAGTATAGAAGTTGTTTCATATAGACCTTGTCCAGCAGTCTCTCTTTCAGTTGGTCTACCTATATTTTTGAAAGTTCTTAAGAACATAATTATCTACAATTATCAGCTACATCATATTTTTAACCATCTGAGCATAGCGTTTGCTTTTATTTTATAATCAAGACAAAAAATAAGTTTCTGTGAGAAAAAACAGGTCTTTTATAGAATGTAAATCACCCTGAATTTTCTGGAATTCACCATTCTGACAAGCAGTGGTTTAAAGTCTTTAAAAATATTACAATTCCACAGATATGTTCATCTTTAAATATATACTACAATCTCCACCTGATCAAGTTTTATTAAAATATACACACTTTAGTTGAAGTTTCTCTTTCCAGAACACTCTTACATGCTATTTCAGTTTGTTACTTTAAGTCACCTTCAATGGAATCCTCATATACAGCAAAGTATTTAACATATTTTAATTTTATTGAATAAGTTAGTATGCATTACATCTACATTATAAATCATTATTTGTCCAGCAAAGAGACAGTTGTTCATTTCAAGGCAAAATAAAAACCTGAATCCAAAGTTCTACTTCTACTGAAATATTTCTAGATGTCTTGGTATGGGCCTAGTCTTCTCCAAGACCCATTCAAAGCAGGCTTTGTTGTCACCTCTCTCTTCAACTGAGAATTCACCATATCTAAAATGCATTTATAAAGAATCTTTCAGCTTTAGAGGTAGTTTTATGCCTGCACTATGAATCACAGAATACATTTTGTCAAAACATCCATAAGAAGGGCAAAAGAGATACATAAGAATTCAGAGTTAGAAATAATTGTTTCTTATTTTTAAGCTAGTTACAGTAGCAAATGTATAAACTGAACTTTAGAACAGCAGTGTTTAGCCATTTAACATCAAAAACATGCAATTGATTGTTACAATTACTTTTAGAGAACACTTAAATTTGATTTAATATGATGGATACCTTTTAAAAAGTAAAAACTATTTTTATGTACAGTGACTAGTGTTGTGAACTGAATACTGACTCCCCAAAGATATGTGCATGTCTTCATTGCTAGAACCTTATTTGTAAAAAGAACTTTGCCAATGTCATGAATTTAAGGATCTTGAGGCGAGGTAATTATTATGAATAAGTCTAGAAGCCCATAAGTGCCAATTTAAGTGCCTTATAAGATGGAGACAGAGGCTGATTATATATCTATACATCAGAAGGGAAGAAAGATAAGATAAAGACCAAGCACAAGGAGATTTGGCCACAAGCAATGGAATGATGAGTGACAAAGAAACTGTAAGAGGCAGGAAGAGAATTTCCCCTAGAGACTTTGGAGGAAGTATAGCCTTGCCAATACCTCAATTTCGCGGTCTGTACTCTAAAATAAGAGAATAAATTTTGGTTACATTTAGCTACTATGTGTGGAATAGTCTGTTACAGCAACCCCAGTAACCAAAAAGAGATCTAGGAATTTGGAAGTCAGGTGCTACTATTATAGATATCTGTGTGGAAGTGATTATGGAACTGGATGATGAGTAAGAACAGGAAAAATTATAGATATATAATAGAAAAATCATAAATTGTCTTAAATAGACTATTGGTAGAAAGAAATTAAAGATGTTTATAAGGAGGGACTGCTCAGAAGAAACCAAAGAATATTTTATTATAAACTAGAGGAAAGAAGGTTCATATAGTGGCAAAAAAAAGTCCCACCACCCAAACACACACACACACACACACACACACATAATAAAAATGTAAAGTGGTAAAAAAACAAAAAACTTAATTGTCTGCAAAAGTTCATTGAAAGTAGAAATTAAGTGATTATCTTGAATATTTAGCTGAGAACTTTTCAAGGAAAGTGTTAAAGGTATAACCTCGCCTGATGATTCTGGAAGGTTTTAGTCTATTTATATTGCGAAAGGTGCTATGATTGTGTTTCACTGGTAAGATAGTGTGTGTGGAGATGAGGTTAAGAATCTGGTTGGTCAACCTTTGTTAGTGCTAAGGGGATTAGTTATTTGCTAAAAGATCCACACACAAAAGAGCTCAGAAAAAGACATGGGGTTATTACACAAATATCTCTGAGAACACTCTTGTTTGAACTGAATTAATATGAAACACTTCAGAAGCCCTCGAAAAATTTGAGAATCTTATAACAGCAGAAATTTCAGTTTGGTCTGTAAAGGACAAAAACAGGTCACAACTAGAGGTTGTCAGGTAGCCAAATTTTTATAGGCAGAAAAGTGACTGATAAAGCTGCAGGTATGTGCAGAGCTTCAGGTACTGAAGTAAAGGCCCAAACACAGAAATAGAGGCACATAAACTTGGTGGGACACACAGGTAGACTACAGTAGATTTAAAATCATCTCTCCTAAAATTCACATTCTAATCCCTAGAATCTGACTAATATCATATTTAGAAAAGACTCTTGGTGCTGGGGCTAGAGCAATAGCACAGTGGGTAGGGCGTTTGCCTTGCACGCCGCCAACCTGGGTTTGATTCCCAGCATCCCACATGGTCTGCTAAGTACTGCCAGGAGTTATTACTGAGTGCAGAGCCAGGAGTAACCCCTGTGCATCGCTGGGTGTGACCCAAAAAGAAAAAAAAAGACTCTTGGTGCCAGAGCAATAGTACAGAGGGTCGGGCACTTGCCTTGCATGCTGCTGGCCCAGATTGGATCTCCTGCATCCCATTTGGCCCCCTAAACACCACAAGGAGCGATTCCTGAGTGCAGAGTCAGGATTAACCCCTGAGCATCACTGGGGTGATTCCCAAACAAACAAACAAAAAACAAAACGAAACAAAACACCATAGAGTTGAGGATTTTGAGATAAAATTATTCTAGATTATCTGGGGGCCTTAAGAGCCAATATATGTCACTGTCCTCCCATTGTTCATCGATTTGCTCAAGCGGGCCCAGTAACGTCTCCATTGTGATAATTGTTACCGTGTTTGGCATATCAAATATGTCACGGGGAGCTTGCCACGCTTTGCCGTGTGGGCAAGATACTCTCAGTAGCTTGCTGGGCTCTCCGAGAGGGACGAAGGAATTGAACTCAGATTGGCCACGTTGGCCGCTTGTAAGGAAAACGCCCTACCCGGTGTGCTATCACTGCAGCCCAAGAGCCAATATAAATTCCCTTAAAAGAGAAAGGCAGAAAGAAATTCCAAACACAGAAGAGAAAGCGTTGTGAAGATACAGAAGGATGTATTGGCATAACCTAGTGGATGTCAATAGCCACTAGTAGTTAAAAGAGGACAGGAAGATTCTCCTCTAGTCTGTGGAGGAAAAACGGCCTGTGATATTTGACATGTGGCCACTAGAATTGTGACAAAATAAAATCCTGACATGTCCACCAAGTTCGTGGCAATGTGTTATAGCAGCCAAATTAAACTAATACAATAAGTAAACACTTGTAGGGATTTTATGTTCCTAAGAACATTCTAAGAAAAACTGAATAATTAATGCTCCTCACATATGGCAATAATAAACCTAACAAAAGCTTTTAATACAACTTGGTTCTATTCTAAAAATTTCACTTATTACATTTTGGGTGAAACTTCAGTTTAACGCACAACTAGAAATGGCTAAAGCAGGAACATTATAAATCTGGGAAGAAAATACTTTGATTATTGGAACTTCATGAAAGATCCTGAGAGGTTTTATATTTGTGAAAAGCAACGAGATTACACTAAATAGAAATATATAATTTCTTAGTAATGGTACTTCAGTTTATTTCCTCAAAACTAAAAAGTAAGGCAATTTTATATCTGTAAAAGGTGATATACATTAATATTTCTACCTTGGTCAGCTTGATATTATGTTATGGCAAATTTTCCTAAACTTTAGTCAAGGTTAATATTTCAAAATACTATTTTACTATGCCTGAAAAGCTATCAAAACACTTAAAGAGAGAAGATCTTGAGGATTTCTAAAAAGGTGTTGTGAAGTCAAAATATATATATATTTTACATAAATTATTAGACCCTAAATCTTTTCTATTGTTTTAAAAAAGTGTGAGAAATTGATATATTACATAAATGTTTCTGTGTTTTAAGATGGAATAAAACTGTGAAACTTTAGATACTATAACTATTTTTTATTTCTTTCATAGTTATTTCAAAGATTTTAAAAGTATAAAACACAAGCAAGAATGCACCAGAGGAAAAGTCAGCAGTTTGAATCATTCTATCATCAAATATAAAGGAAACTGTGAGTTACTGTTCACTTGTTTACATTATACCATGTGGTGATTTACCAAGTCCTAGTCATTTGTTCTTTCTTTCTAAGTGTATGTGATATATGTGGGGGAGTAGAAATACTATTTTCTACATAATAAACGTGTATTATACATCATTGTCATCTCTATAAGTTCATTCCAAACATGTTATATCACATTATTTCAATGCTAACATCACAGTCATCTGTATAAGTTCATTTTTAAACTGCATTCCAAACATGTTATATCACATTATTTCAATGCTGTTTTAATAATAGGCAAATATGGTTAGCTTTTCCCCCCTCACATATTTAAGAAAAATGAAGAGAATGTCTTTCCTTCTAGAGTGATTTTGGCAATATCATCTTAATTTGCTAGCACAAGGTAAATAGAATGATGATTGAGGAATTCACTTAGTCACTAGGACATGGAATTACTGTAGCAGGAACTATACTTGTACACATGTCGTTCCTTTTCTTTTTCAGGTCGCCAAAGCAAAATTGGAAAGGAGAGTAAAAATAAAGATAAAACAATTGACCTTTCAGACACTTTTCTATTGCTGCCTGTAGAGATAAAAATTTTCTCTCTCAGGTTTTATAGAATTCTATTCTCTGCCTTCAAGAGGGTCATGGAAGAAAGAATCAAGAAAGAGAAGAAATAAAGCACAGAGAATAAGAATCAATTTTTACCTTTAACAATATAAGGATAATTAAATTTTCAGGGTTATCCTAAGCATAAACATTAAAATATAATGGTTTTTTCAAAAATAGCCATATAAAGTATTTGTATAAAGTAGATGTAAGTGCATATTTAGAAAACACTTTTTAAAATAAAGTTTTAATCACTTTTTCTAACTGGATTGTTAAACTTTGGTTTTACTTTTAGCAATAAGTGCTTGCAATATCATGCTGAACTCTAGATTAATAAATTTAATTTCAGCCAAAGCAGATGAATCCATCAGCTGTCACTTCAAATAAGATTTTAAACAACTTGACAGAGGTAAAGCAATACTTTTTTGAGTTTCTAAAATAGGGTCTCTTACAGAGCATGCAATACTAGCATTTCTCCAGAGCACAAACATGCATATTTTCATTGACCTTTTCCTTTTTATGTAACAGATACCAGAAGCAAATACTGGATTGATTTCTTTCCATCTATTTTGTAGGGGTAAGCTGCAAATTTAAGTAACATTATAAATTTCTGACAGTAAAAATTTCGAAAGCCTTTAAATGCTTCCATTTCTTACATTTTTTCTTATCACGATCAGGTCACAATAACAAAGTATACATCTTTACACAAAATGAAACACACTTTATAATTCTGGTAATTGTGTTCACATAGAATTGTGGGAAGAGTCTTATAATAACTGGAGAAATGCACACGCTCTCATCCAGTTTAGCTTGATATTTGCAGAAATGCACTTATTTCCTCTTCATTCCTTATTTTGTTCTTCATAAACTATGATTTTGTTTACTTAAATATTTTCATATTCTTTGGCATCAGGAAATCACTTAGATGAGACGGCTCCATTGTGACGAGAGCGAGACCTTTCTAATGGTGGTACTCGTCTGTTATCTGTAAGACAAAAAAATGAAACTCATGAGGTTTATAGCTTGATTATTACACACTGTTAGGCACAGACAGGATTTCAAACAGTTCTACAAAATCACTTAAAATGGATATTAATATGTAAATAAGTAACAACAACACTGATCTAAAACATTTCCCTTATAGCTGTCAAGTTGAGTTCACAATTTCTGCAATCAGTACAATGTCTTTTCTAAGGAAGCAAAGACAGAGTGACAAAACAAGTGGAAGGATTCTCCAGAGCACAATCCCCTTGAAAATAGCAGGTGACACCAAAGTTTCATGATAAAGATGTCTAATAGAAAGAATCTATGTTCATGGCCTATAGTTGAAAAATACTTCAATTCCACAGAAGTATTTGCAGGCTACCTTTAGAGGACCTAAGAATGGGCAGAAAAGAATTTTTATTATTTATGACTGCACTATGTGGTCATCAAACTGGCTATTAGGTCTGCTTTATTGTAAGGTGTAAATAAAATCATTGTATTATATAATCATTATGGGAGTGAGTAAAGAATAGCTCCCATTTCCAAGAGGAAAAAAGAATAACTGTAGGGCTAGGAGATAGGGCTGGAACATATATTTTGCATGTGGATTCTCAGGTTTTATCTTTAGCACTGCTTGGGCACCTCCCCACCCAGTACCCCTATGAGCAATCCGCAGAATACCAAGCTAGAAGTGGCTCCCCCAACTCTCAGCAACTCTGGGTGATATATATTATATATATATATATATATATAGAGAGAGAGAGAGAGAGAGAGAGAGAGAGAGAGAGAGAATTACCTGCACAGAGCATGGCAAAGTTTTGTAAGCTGCAGAAAATTTGAAAGTTGATGAAAATAATGATATCATCAACTGTCTCTGCTCAGCTTAAATATAATTGTGTAGGTGAAACTTCCTTTATGACCAAAGCATATTATACACCCAATGTAGAATGAAACTATGTCCCTAGGAATAATTCCAGCACCCAGTGATTATATAAATGCTAACATTATATATTCCTTAATTATTATCTCTGCTTTTTGAATGAAGGTTACACAACAAATCAGTGTAATGATGGGGTATTATAGCACAAAGAGAATGCTCAAATGTCAGACCTGCTTTGTACACAGGTAGATGTTAATGGTCTCCTAAATTACTGCTTCCTCCCTAAGATGGTAATACCCCTAAATATATCCAGTCTTGGTCACCATATCATGGTGGGTATGGACTGTGAGAAGTACTGTAGTTTTGCAATGTATCTTTATAGATTCCTGGTACTTTGTGGTATAAAGTGTGTATATTTACTTGAGATAATATATACAAATTTGTTAATAAATGGTTTTCCATGATAATTTGCCCGCTATTTTGGAAAGCAAAGACAGAAGATGTTAACGAATAAAAAGCTGCCTACATTTGTATATTTTTTGGGCATATTGTGTAATGATGAAATATTGGAAAACATTTCATCAGAGGGTTGGTAAATATTGCTTGCCATATTCTTATTCCTTTTTCTTAGTACCTGAGGTAACACAGAAAATAAGGAAGAGAGAGGGATAGTTTAATATATAATCATGGTTAAAAACTGTATTAAATTATTCTAGATTCTATTGTTGGTAAACACAAGAACCAATGTAGTAGTGAAGCCTGTCAGTCCCAAGATGTACTTTCCACATCCACAATAGTTGGGTATGCATATCCATATCCTCACAGATTTTCTTAGTTATCAAAGTCTAGTCTTCAAAGTGGGTTGGAGCAATATCATAGCGGGTAGGGGGTTTGCCTTGCACACGGCCGACCCGGGTTCGATTCCTCCAACCTTCTTGGAGAGCCTGGAAAGCTACCGAGAGTATCCCGCCTGCACGGCAGAGCCTGGCAAGCTCCCTGTGGCGTATTCGATAAGCCAAAAACAGTAACAACAAGTCTCACAATGGGGAGATGTTACTGGTGCCCACTTGAGCAAATCGATGAACAATGGGAAGACAGTGCTACAGAGCTACAGTGCTACAGTCTTTGAAGTATTCCTTACGTGAAGGTGACCTTATTCTGGTATTACACAGAGAAAAGTGATATAGTATGAAAGTTGAAGAAAGAACAAAGTTATATTAAAATATACATTCTATATGGAAAAGCCAGCCAAAGCAAAACAATATTCCAATCTGTCACCAAAAGATAATATAAGTACATGGCCCAGTTTTTACAAGCTTCTGAACATTCTGAGTATCAGGGAAGCCAGCTCAAACCAACGTAAAAGCTTTTCCTACTGTCAGAAGAGCAAGAAGCTTTATGTTTTTTTCTGAGCATAAATTGATTTGGCATTCATCTCAAAGCTTCCCCAAATGAATCCTGCAATGAATGAATTAAGCCTGCTATTGTACTGCTCTAAAATTCATTCATGCAATCATTAATTTAGCAACTATGTACAAAGTAGATCTTCCATGAAATATCCAAATGCCACAAGGTTTTAGACACATAACTAAATTACATCACTACATTAGTAATTTCCTTCTTACTGAAAGCATAGTCAAGTGAAATAACCAGAATGAACACATCATACATAAAGTTTAAAAGTAATACAAGAAACAGAACAAAGGACTCAAACTTGATGCATGTAACTTGGAAATATGTAAATTAATTCTCTAACAAAACTGTGTATGCTAAAAGTGTAACACTGTATCTTATGTGTTCCATGAGTTAGTTAAATTGGTTTTAAAAACTGTGATACAAAAGGCCAAGTTCATTATTCTTTTTCCCCAGGCTAGGTGTCCATCTGTTGTCTATGAAAGACCTGTTTTCTTTCAGCTATTTCATAGGCCTGCAGATGTATCCATGTTGAATTAATGTAATGCACTAGCTCCTCCTGGCAAGGTAACATAAAATAAATATGTGCCCAGTATCTACAGCTCTCTGTGTCAAACAGTATTCCCTTTTAATGCAAATTAGTTGGCCAAAAACATAGTAAAAGAAAAACTTTATAATTTACTGCAAGCTTTATTTTCTCCAAAGGTCTTCAAAGTGATGGTGTGGCAGATTGACCATCAATGGGTACACAGTGTTTCCAGCAAAGCAAATGGAGATCTGGGTCTAGGCAGTTTAGGCTAAAACAAAATAAAATAAACCCCCCAAAACTACCCACCACCCAAGGAAATGTTAGGCTACTTTTGAAATAGCAGCAGCTATTTGTATTCCAAACTCTAATTAAAGAATGATAATTTTAGACTATTGCACTGAAATCATCTCATAAAAAATTACTCTTTTCCCATTATATGCCAAGACTAAAAAACTGATTTGTGCAATGTTTTCCCTGTGATTTTCTGGATCATAAAATACATTCTCAAGAGGCAGAAGCGAGTGGAATTTAGCAGCTGAAATTAGGATTGGGTTTAATCCTTTGGTGGAGGACAGCCAATTAGATTCCAGTGGGTAGTAAGTATTTGAATGCCTTATGTCATTTGGGAGTTTTTAAAAATGTGTATTTTAAAATTTTTTAAAAAAATGTATACAACTGTACCTCATGGTGTTTCACTAATAAAAATTAAAATAAAATAAAATAATCAAATTGTTATATATTATCATAATATTACAACTGAATAAAATTGTTCTAAATAAAAAATGTGTTGTATGAAAAGTGACTAATATATTTGAGTCAATAATTTAGTACATCCCAATTCCAAATGAGGTATTTTTTCTTGCCTTTATATATATAAATGTTATCTAGTAATTTTTTAAACTTTGGTCTGTCCCTTAGCAAAGTCTCTAGCTTTCTCTAGCTAGAGATAGCTGAGAAACATTTGTTTGTATTTCTTCTATCTCTTATTTGAATATTTTTTCACATTTATCTAAACAACCAATCATTTATTTTGTTATACAATGTGAGGATAAATTTCCACACTGATTTCTTTATTCTTATAGTCTTACAAAGAATAAACCATTTATTCCAGCATACTTTGTTGAATAATAGTGAATTTCTATAATAATTTCTTATACCTTCTTTATGTGCTTTTATTTCTACCTCACTGACCAAAGTATTTCTCCAAGCATTTTTGTATCAATACTTCGTATTTTATTATTTCAATTTCACCCTATGTTTTACTATTTGTTGGAGACAGTCTTCTTCAATTTACATTTTTATTTCAAATGTGTATTTTATGGTACTTTTTCAAACTTTACGTCATGCTATAATCAAATAACCATTAGAAGACATCACAGTTTGACAAACAAACTCAATAAGTACTAAGTTATCCAATTAAGGCTTAACTAAAGTCTATTTGTTGAGAGCCAATGAATCAAGTGTTTCTAAAATCCCTAGTGACATCTTTAACTCTTCTCTTCAGGTCCTCCATTTTCTCAATGACTTAACAAGCCTCTTCTCTTGACTTTGGACCATGGGAAATATAGCAGAATTCATCATTATGAAAAAGAGTGCACCAATTCTACCTAGAAAACTTTTAAATATACTTATTCTCATCATTTTTATTTCTCAAAGATTTAGAAACTTGTAATTAAATTTAAAGTATGTTGACTACTAATAAAGATCACTGCTTATAGTTTAAACTATATTTTCCCTTGCTTCGTGTTTTGTATATTGGGCCTCCACTAAATGGAGTACATTCTTTACACAGCGTAGAATTCTTTTGTTAAAACAGAACTATTGAATCTGTTGGATGCTGTGGAAAAATGTATTTCTAGAAAAGTCAATTACCTTCACATAACAATTACATTCTTCTTCTCCTGTTCTAATATCAATGACAGTGCACTATTCTTTTTTTCTTTTTGAACTTTTTTTTTTATTAGTGAAACACCATGAGGTACAGTTGTAGATTTACAATTTTTTGTGCTTGGGTTTGATTATACAATGATCAGATACCCATCCCTCCACCAGTGCCCATTTTTCACCACCATGGATAATATCCCCCCCACCCCCATCCCCCCATCCCCCCTGCCTCTGTGGCAGGGCAATCCCCTGTGTTCTCTCTCTCCTTTTGGGTGTTGTGGTCTGCAAAGGAGGC